AAAAGCAGCCAGACCACCAAACAGCTTTTCTCCCCTACCGGCTTTAGCGCGTCTTTCCCCAGAAGGCTGGGCTTGCTTGGTGGCTCAGATGGCAATGAGTCTGCCTGCAGTACATGAAACCTGGGTTTGATTCCTGGCTTGGGAAGATCCCCTGGAGAAGGAAATGGCAACCCACTCCAGTATTCTTGCCAGGAAAATTCCATGGATGGAGGAGCCTGGCAGGCTACAGTCCATGGGGTCACTAAGAGTCAGACACAACCGAGAGACTTCATTCATTCATTCATTCATTCCCAGAAGGCTTGTCCACCACCCCCAGCGCTCGGGGTCATGGTGCTGAGGTCTGAGCCTGTGGGTGTGGGCCTCGGGGACACTGGGGTCCCCAGTACCCCACAGTGTCCCGAGGCCTGAAGCTCAGGGGGGCCTGTGGAGCCCCGCTGCTCACTCACTTGGCCGCGCTTCTGCAGGGCCGCCTAGGTCCTCCCCGCTCACTGATGGATAGTACTGGGTGCTGGGCCCTGTCGCTGCAGCCAGTCTTTCCGGCCTCCATCAGCAGGATGAGGAAGAGCTGTCTATGGCTATTAGTGTGGACCAAGTCCCATGAGGGCATCTCCTGGTGGCCGGTTTTGCCCAGGCCCGTCTCCATTCCCGGACGGGCATCAGACAGGTTTATCCAATGGGGTACTTCCCAGGTGGCACTAGAACCTGCCTGCCAATGCAGGGGATGTGGGTTCGATCCCTGAGTTGGGAAGATCCTCTGGAGAAGGAAATGGCAAGAGGAGTCAGGATATGCAGGTGTGTTTGCTGGGGAGGGAAAAAAAACCAAAACCCCCAAACACGTAGTGAAACAGCAAATGATGACCGCTGGTCAAAAATAACTGCTGTGCTTAGTCACCCAGTCATGTCTGTCTTCAAAACCCCCTGGTCTGTAGCCCGCCAGGCTCCTCTGTCCACGGGATTCTCCAGGCAAGAATACTGGAGTGGGTTGCCATGCCCTTCTCTAGGGGATTGTCCCAGCCCAGGGATCGAACCCAGGTCTCTCTCATCCAGGTGAATTCTTTACCACTGAGCCTAAATAACAGATACCTCAAGTTAATGATTTCAGTTCTTTTGTGTACGGCAAGAGGCAAGAAGTCTGAGCTCATTCAAATTACTCCTTCAATATTCATCTTAACTGTCCAGGGCCAATGTCCTGTCTTTCTGCATCCTGAATCCCCTCCGGGTGCACCACCGGGGCAGCTTCAGTGGCTGATGGTTCATGGGAAGCAACACTCCTCACTCACTGGAATGACAGGGCACTGTTTTTTGTCTGAAGACTCTTTCCGTTTTGCTTGCAGACTGTTTCCACATCTTATTACACTAGTAATACATGTAGAAATAATGATATCTCCCACTTGTTGAGGACCCCTCTGTGACAGCTGTACATATTTTCTGATTCTTACAATATTCTTTCTGGAGAGTTAGAAATAGTCACCATTTTGCACAGAAATAGTTAAAAAAAAAAACAAAACTCAAGGTGGATTTCTGACGCAGGCTACAACACGGATGGACCTTGAGGACATTAAGCCCAGTGATACAAACCAGCCACGAAGGGATAAACATAGTATGCTTCCATCTCTGTGCATCCTCACGGTCAGAGACAGGGAGAATGGTGCTCGCCAAGGGGCAGGACGGCCGTGGGCGGGGGGTGGAGAGTGTTTAATGGGGGCAGAGACTCAGTTTGGAAGGAGAAAAACGTGGGGATGGAGGGTGGTGATGCTGCACAGCCGTGTGAAAGGACGAATACCAGCGAGCGGTGCATTCAGGTGCCTGAGAAGGTCAGTTCTATGCCCTCTTTCGCCGCAGTTAAGAAAAAGACGTAGAGAAGTGGGGTCATGGGCTAAGGTTTCAGAACAGGGCCCGGGCAGGGCCTGGCACCCCAGTCCAGCTGAGTGAAGCCCCCACCAGCCCCTGTTCACAGGGCAGGCAGGGCTGGGGTGAGGGCCGGTGGGACAAAGGACACGGCTGGGCCTGAGTGAAGCTCAAGAACCCGCCCGCGGCTGGGCTCCGTGCCTCCCAGGGACTGGACTCTCCACGCCCCTGGTGACCCTGCACGTTCCCATTGGGCTGTGAAGGCTGGGATCGGGAATGAAGGGGTCCCCAGGCCAGGTCAGGGTGGACTCCCGGCAGCCTCGTGGGTAGGGGGTGATTAGGGTCAGTGATGTGCCCAAGCTCATCCAGCTGTTGGTGGCAGGACTCACTGGAATTTGGCCTTGGTGTCCAGCTTCATCAAGCCATGGCTGTCCTCCATGCTCGGAGCCAGGAGACCAAGGACGAAGTGGAGATTCTCTGTTTTTACATCTGTGCATTTGCACAGTAAGAGGTGAACGGTCCTACATTTGGAGCAGGGCCGAGGTGGACCAGGGACCGCCCGCAGGCCTCTCTTGCTCCCTGAGGCAGCCTCCTCAGATCTCTGGGCTGAAACTGCTGGACCCATCTCTGTGGTCCTTCCAACTCCAGCCTGAGGCTGTAAGATGAAGCCAGGAGCCCGTGCCTTCATTCCACACAAATGTGGCCAGAAGCTGGGGTCCCCACTCCCCACCTTGCAGTGTGGACAGGGACTCTGCGGTTGCATCCGCAGCTGGGGGATCGAGGCTCCGAGACTGCAATCCAAAGTTCACGTCCCAGCTCCACCACTACTGGCTGAAAACTTTTCCCCATGTTTTCTACCACTTTCTACCATTCACTGACTCTAAGACTGGCATTTACTGTCTTGAATCTCCATTTCCTTCTCTGTAAGAGGAAGATCATAATCCTGCTCGTAGGACAGACCTGAAGTCAAATGAGAAAACAGATGTAAATGTGCTGAAGAAGACATGAGCTGTTTTCAAACGTCACACGTGGGTCCCAAAGTGAATGATTTGGCTTTGAGCATATTCATCATGTCCAACAGAAATGTCCTGCACACAAGGTCTAGCAGTTAAGTATTGAGATTAAAAAGAAAAACAAACCTTGAATATTCAGATAAATATCATTAACTTCAAAGATGTTCGTTCCTTGGTTGGACAATTCATTATTCTGATAATGTTGCTGTTACTCAAGATTTCTTTCAAATGCATCTTTCAGAGTTGCCTCCAAAGCGGGCATATCCTTGGTTGGGTAACTCTACCCACTGGATTCAGTTTTGGAGAAAAACCAACATTTACACCCACAGAGCTACAGACTGTGACCAGGGCTTCCCTGGTGGCTCAAATGGTAAAGAATCTGCCTGCAATGCAGGAGACCCAGGTTCGATCCCTGGGTTGGGAAGAGCCCCTGGAGGAGGGCATGGCAACCCACTCAGGTATTCTTGCCTGGAGAACTCCACAGACAGAGGATCCTGGCGGGCTACAGTCCACAGGGTTGCAAAGGGTTAGACACGACTTAACAACTAAACAGCAGCACTATATGACTCTATAAATACACGCTGAAGGAAGGAAGGCAGGCCTGACACAGGAAACAGCGTTTTTTCAGAGCCAGGCCTCTGGGAGGAATTAGATTTCTGATTAGGTTTCAGGGGAGACAGCTTTTACCTGATACACTGCAGGGGACGTGTGCCAGGCATGGGCCACCTGCCTCCCTTCACCTGCAATTAAAGGATCACCAGCCTTTTCTCAGATCTTCTATTGACTGTAAATAGTCCACCCCAGGGAGGAGATGCCTCTGCAGGGCCCTGCTGGCTATGCTTAACCCCAAACAAAATACAGAGAACACAGCTCTTTCTGTCTCTAACTGGAATAGTTAATGCCGTTAGAAATTAAGATAAAAAGAAATCCTCCATTTTTACAGATGAATCATTGAAACCTGGCTCGGAAGACCACCCATGGCTCCAGAGAAAGTGTTTTGCTGGTTAAGTTTTTAACATTCGAGGCTCTTAGAGAGGTTGATTTGAAAGCAGTCATAAATCACACCACTTCAAAGGCGACTGTGGTTTGTGAAAGGCCAAGGCCGCTGCCTGCCGGAATCTGGAGGATAGAAAGCAAGCTTTGACCTTTCTCTGCTGACTCTGCATAACGACCACTTTTGAATCGTGAAATGTCTTAGAAATTATAGAAGATTTTGGAAATTCTCAGACTGCCATTTAGTTACAAGATAAATGAGTGGTACATTTAAGCTATATTTTCATACCTTATCAGGTGCCAAATATATTTTAAAAAAATCAGACAGCTGCTCAAGTTGAAATGGGGCAAAGAGACAAGTTCAGAATGACAAGTAGGCAGCTGCCAACCGACCTTCATCATGGTGATCATCAACTTCCTGACCCAGGAGTCGAACCAGGGTCTTCTGCATTGCAGGCAGATTCTTTACCAACTGAGCTATCAGGGAAGCTGTCTTTTTGGAAAAGAACCTGAAAAAGAATAGATACACGTATAACTGAATCACCTTGCTGCATGCCTGGAACTAACATTGTAAATCAACTTTAAGATAAAAATTAAATTCAAAAAATGAATAATCCATGTTTTGTTGAGGAAGTCTAAAGTCCTCTCAAAATCTAGGACTTTTCAAAACTGGATTCAGTTTTGGAGAAAAACCAACATTTACACCCAAAGCTTTACTGAGGGGGACAGAGGGGGCTGAGAAAGGAGAAGGGAAGGAGCGAAGAGGAAAGAAACTCTCAGGAGACCACTGCTGCCCCGGGGGAGCCCCTCGTCCCCTCAGCCCCACTGGCCTCCAAAGAGGATGAATGGAGAATTTCTTCTTCAGACCTTCCCACTCGGTGTCACAAAACGAAGGACCAAAAAAAGAGATCATGATAAAATCTTCACACCAAAACCTCTGAGATAACTTAGAACATTTTTAGTAGCTTGACCTGCCTCATGCCTGAGAGATGTAACCTGGTCCCCAGGGAGGAATCTAAATCCTCAGAGGTCAGAGGTCCAGAGAGGGGTCGTGGGGAGGACACGATCTTAGTGAGACCCTCCATGGGGAGCAGGAGGGGAAACACAGCTGCATTCACACCATCCATCATTTTCTCACCCAATGTGTCGACAAGAATACAAGGTAACAATTTTATTCACAAATAAAAAAAGGTCTTACAAAACTAGTTGTGTAAGGAAACCAACATTTACAAATTCATAAATTCCAGTATGCAAAATAGTCAAGATGAGGTCTAAATGGATGCAAGCTGACTGCCTTAAAGCAATGATGGGATTTTTCCTTTTCTATTTTTTTTTTTTAATTAGCACAGACAACAGTGCTTGACCTAGGTAACAGCAACATGAACACTTTATCTAAAGTAGAAAAATCTATATTGGAAAAATATATTCCATATACACAAAATCAGAAAACCCATGCCTTTCTGTGGTTGCTGTCCAATCCTCATCTCATCCTTGTTGGTGAGTTTCTGTGGCACAGAAAGTAGCAAGAATTCACATGTCCAGTCCTGTTATCACTTGATGCTGATTTCCTGGCATGCCGGCAGCTGAGTTTATCCGAGTGCTGCCAATATTCCAATGATATGAGATGCCGGCTGGATTGTCCTTTCCAGTGTTTACAAAGAGCACAGGATATAACATCATTGTCTGTTCCCATAGTACGTGGTAGTACAATGTCTTCATCTTGATAAAAATAACCCAAGATTTTTCAAATGTTGTATCAAATAAAATCCATTTGTAACCCTAATCTTCTCTCCTGGGGCTTCCCTGGTGGCTCAGTGGTAAAGAATCTGCCTGCCAATGCAGAAGACGCAGGTTCGATCCCTGGGCTGGGAAGATCCCCTGGAGCAGGAAATAGCAACCCACTCCAGTATTCTTGCCTGGAGAATCCGCATGAATAGAGAAGCCTGGTAGACAACAGTCCATGGGGTCGCAAGGAGTCGGACACGACTTAGCAACTAAACAACATCATCTCTATTGATCAGAAGTGATGTTTCAGGATTTGGAGCCAGAGCCTCTTTTCCATCAATCTTAGCTTTCTCCTGCAAGTGTTTGCCTTTGATGTTAATGAGGGCTCTACACATGGAAGATATACTCTGATTATAAAAAGGAACACTGCCCTGGCCTACCCTGTTGTAACAAAAGTGATTGGATTGCAGACTATAGCACATGTGACTTAAGATGAAATCTGCATTTTCCTGGCCCTCTAGTGCTCAGATCCTAAGTACTTTGCATGAGTTTCCTAAAGGCACATCTCAGAAGAGCTGGTGCATGCCAGAGCTTAAGAATCATTGGTTTAGACTAAAAAAACGGAAGAGAAAAAAGAAAGTCAGTTAACTCTGGCTGGGTACCAGCTAGACGGGAAAGGCTATGCGTTACCGTGAGATGCTCTAATTTCCTATTTGAGTCCAAGGAACGGAGGTCACACACACAACACACCACACCCAGGTGAGTTTGTGTCTTTGCAGGGGGCCTGAGCTGTGGATGGAGGAACATGATGGGGGTGTCTTGTGAGAGCTCATGAATGCAAGAGAGAAAAGCACGGGGTAATGAGAGGGAAGTAACAGTGTCCTGGGAAAGGCAGAGTTCTAATGCTCACTTCAAACTTTTTTTTTTTTTTTTGGCTGTATCATGTGGCTTGTGGGATGTTAGTTCCCTGACCAGGTATTGAACCCAGACCCATGGCGGTGAAAGTGCTGAATCCTAACCACTGGACCACCGGCAACTGCCTCCAATGACCTTCCAATGGAAGGTCAGAAGAAGACGCTGATTTTGGAGGAGCAACTCGGAAACAAAATATGTGAGCATTCTCTAACGCACGGATGTTTGAAGGTTTATGTCTTTTTTAAGTGCAAATGGAACAAAGCTAATAGTCATAACTTAAAAGGCAACTGCCAGGACTGATTACGAACGTGGTAGGAAAAGAAAGAAATCCTGCTCAAATAAATCCTCTCCGGGGTGCAGAGATGAAGAGCTAAGGAGCTGTCCCCTGGTTCACGACTGAGCTGGGTTTGTTTCGGCCTTAGCTGTAGAGTAAATTCTAGTATGTAAACACCAAGGTGGCAGGGGTGGATCGCTTTCGTAGAAGCACTGGACTCTTCAATCCAGCGTCACTGCGCTGCGGTGGAAACTGCTGTGTTGACCAAGCTTAGAGATTGGAGGGAGCCCTGTAACATGCTGATCAGACGACACAATGGCGGTTACAACCACCCACTGTGCTTGTTCTCCCGGTCCTAATACGCAGAGTCGTCTCCTAAGACTACTCACCTGGCATCGTGTTTCAGTGGCGTGGACACACCATGTGCTGGCATTTCTAAAGCCTTTATTATAAAACACGATGCAAACAAAAGATTATTATAAATACCGCTTTTCTATAGAAGAGAAAATCTGGATCTTTTGAGCTGGGTCCCAGGGACAGAAGTAACAAATGCTTCCATATCAGTGGATTTTCGAGGAAATCTGCTAATCTAGGATAAGGATTAAGGAGCTTATAACTCGGGGGAGAGGTTGGGTAGCCCTTTCCCAACCACATTCACTAACTCAGGCCCCTCTGGTCACTAACTCAGCTGGGGTTGATGAGACAGTGGCTGATGGAGAAGTGTCGATTCTGTAAGATTTGATCTCTTCTGATTCCCAGGCCACCATCTGATAAGCCAAGACTCAGGCAGACCGTGTGAGGTCAATTCTAACCTTCCACGCTGATTATTCAGATGATGAAAAGGTGACCTCCAGTACACAGAAACACTCACCTGTGAACCTACCCTACGTAAAAACTGGGTAACCGATCTGACATTGACTTTTAGTAGGAGATGTGAAATTATTTCCAGGAAGTGTGAATGAAAAGTTATACTCTGGGCCTTCAGTCTCGGCAAAACCACCACATCCACCACGAAGAGAAGCATGACTGCGTTTCTGCTTCTCGTTATACCCCTAAGCTCGGAGGCTGCAAACCCGGCCCACTGTGTCTCCGAAGTCGGCCTCCCGCTCAGACGCTCCTTGGGTGGAAAAGATGCAGAGCTAGGAGGCTCCATTCCTTGAGGTTTCGGCTCGCGGCGGGCCTGGCTCAGAAGCTTAAAATGACATCAGTTCAGTTCAGATTCACTTTTTCCCCCAGAAGCCACGCGAGGTCCACAAGCAGGCTCTGATGGACACTTCATTGAAGAAAGAAGCAAGTCCTTTCGTCCCCCTGAAATGGTGACACAAGGAGAGCTCTGAACACAGCACCTTACGAACTGAAACCGCTACACTGTGACTGTGAAGATGGACGGTGCTTCACTTTTCCTAATGGTGCATGTGAATTTAATGATATATGGACAGGAAGCTCCTGTTATGGTGTCCTAATATCAGGCACCCATGTACTCTGGGAATAAAAATAAAGACTTCCTAACAACCCACTCACTCCATCTGGGCAAACAGTCCTTAAAAGATGAAAATGAACCCCAACAAACTATGGACAACGGACAATTGTCCATATCAATGGACAGTTCTTCTGCTGATTTTCAACCTGTCAAACATTTCAAGCCCGGTTCTGTGTTGCACTTCTTTAAAGCAACTATAGGCAAAGATTTTAGGATTCTTTAGTCTATTCTTTAAAAGAACAAAGATGGTTAACGATTAGTGCCATTCTTGGTCTTTGAATTTAAAACTTCTGTGATGCTATTGGAGAAAGCTTAGAAAGAGTTTGGGAAGGAGACTTCTCTCATAAATGACCTCCCTGGAACACTCACACATGTCACAGGGCAAACATCATTGGCAGGGAGCAGCCTTTAGGTGTGACCCTTGTCAAAAAAAGGGCAGTGACCTCACTTTGGGAGGGGCTGAGGTCTGGCCACTGCATATTATCATATGTACGTGAAACCCTCATTTCTGCAGTCACTTTTCATCAACTTACTACTAATTTGGCGTTGATGACATATCAGATACATCCACAGTAAAATTTTTTCATAAGTCTAAGCAGATTATCTCAAAATAGAAATATCTGAGGTTCTCTCAATAATAAGATAGTTTTGTCAAATATGTTGGTCAACTGATATGATAATACCAACCATGTTAATGCTACTGTGGAAGGCAAATTATACTTAATTGGTCAATAGAGAGAGAAAAAAAAGAGAGATTTTAATATATTGAGAAACTAGAACCCAGGTGATCTCATATCTTTTCTACCATTCCTCCCATATTTCATGCTGACATTTAAAATGTTTGTTAAAAAACACCACCCACAAAAGCTTTTCCTATAATCAAACAAGCTATTTCATTCCCCAAACGTCTTTGCAAGTGATGTCTCAATATCTTAGTCCTCTTCCCTTCTGGAGAGGTGTGTTGAGGGACAATTTGACTAAATTTGAGTCACAAGACTAAGGAAGCCGCTCACTCCTATTTGCTTGATAACTACACGGAGGAGATAGCAACCCACTCCAGTATTCCTGCCTGGAGAATCCCATGGACAGAGGAGCCTGGTGGGCCACAGTCCACGGGGTTGCAAGAGTAGACACGACTGAGCAACTAAACCACCACCACCGTGACTACCACTGTCAGATCTGGGTGGATTAAACCACCCACAAGAAGACTACTGTGTAAAAACACATTTTGGGGAACAAATGAATCACAAGTTAGAAATCTGATAATTTTTTTTTTTTAATTTCTTGCATGTTTAGTTGTGCCCAACTCTTTGTGACTCTGTGGGCTGTAGTTGTCTAGGCTCCTCTGTCCATGGGATTCTCCAGGCAAGAATTCTGGAATGGGTTGCCATTTCCTCTCCCAGGGATCTTCCTAACTCAGGGATCAAACCCACGTCTCCTGCACTGGTTGGTGGATTCTTTACCACATGAGCAGCTAACTGGGATGTGCCAGGATGTACTTGGCAGTAAATCAAATTAGCACACTGCACACCTTTAACTTATACAATATTATATGTCAATTCTATCTGCATAAAGCTGGGGAAAAAAGAGTAAATAGAGGTTAAAATATAAATGAGTGTCTCGGTAGGAATTTAAAGTTTCATTGAAAATAAAATAGACATAAATTATTTTCAAAGGGGTGGGGTTGTTAGTACAAAAAAAAAAAAAAAAAACTCCTGAAATTTAATGTAAACATACTCTCCTATAACACACAAGAAGGTATGAAGGATGGAAAGACCTTCTCCCCAGGGTCCCCCACATTTTCTGGCGTCAGAGCTTGGTTCCCTCTGGGTGTCCCTGAGTCAGTACTGCGCCCATCCTGAGATCCACCCCTGGGGGGGGCCTCACCTGGGCATGTGGCTGTGTGGTCAGGTGTGGGGCATCTCCTCGCCCCTGATCCAGCTGGTTTCCAGCAGTGAGCACGACCTGAGCCCGCACAGGCTCCAGCAGTGCATCGCTGAGTCTCGACAAATCAGTAGTGTCTGTAAAGGTCTCCGGATGAGCTAGAACTGGCCCCGCTCCACCGACCAGACCCTGACTGCTGTCTGAGTCCAGGGAAGCCAAGCTTGTGCTCTCTGGGTCGAGAGAGTGAGTGTCTTCTCCAGGGAGCTCAGGGCAGGAGTCACAGGAGGAGACGTCATCACCTCCTCCGGGATTCTGCATCAGAGGCCAGGCGTCTGAGAACTCGCCGCAGAGGGACCTTGACAGGGACCCAAAGAAAGTGGGAATCGCCTCTCCCGCTGGACCTGTGTTTCTGGACACATGTTCGAAAGCGTATAAGTAACTCTATCAGGAGAAAAACCTCTTATAAACTCCAGCTATGCTTTCTAGTTTTCTAGATGAAATATACTCATTGGAAAAGACCCTGATGCTGGGAAAAACTAGGGGCAAGAGGAGAAGGGGACAACAGAGGATGATATGGTTGGATGGCATCACCAACTCAATGGACATGAGTTTGAGTAAACTCCGGAAGATGGTGAAGGACAGTGAAACCTGGCGTGCTGCAGTCCATGGGGTTGCAAAGAGTCAGACACGACTTAGCGACTGAACAACAACATGATATAAACACCATTTTATTAAGTCAGAATTCTCGTGCCTCCTTTTTTATAAACTTGCTTCAGTACAGTAAGTTAAATTACTCCATTTACTATAAAATTGAATTTCTATACCCACTTCTTCTAATCAACATGTGTTGATTGCTTAGTTGTGTCCAATTCTTTGTGATTCTGAGGAGTGCAGCCTACCAGGATCCGCTGTCCATGGAATTCTCCAGGCAAGAATACTGGAGGGGGTTGCCATTTCCTTATATTTATACTTAATCCAATGTCTAAAATATGGAGTGTCCTAGGTCTTCACTGAGTTCGACTACTATTCTAAAATTCTCTGGGTATGTGGCATACTAAAAATTACTTAGAGATGACAAAAGTGTTACAAATCATGAATATAAGACAAAAACAAAATTAGCAGGATATACAGTATAAAGAATGTTGCATTGGCTCTCAGTAACCCTGAGAGACTTACCTAATTCTTTCCAAAGTTCCCACCCTCTTAAATGTCCAGAATGTCATTAATACTACTAAGAAAGTGATGTCCCACAGTTTAGCATGAAATGTAAATAAGTAGGATGTATATTTGCACAAGGGAATATGAAATTATATTGATTAAAAACACCACTTTGGGACTTCCCTGGTGGTCTAGTGGCTAGGGCTCCGAGCTCCCAGTGCCAGGGGCCTGGGTTTGATCCCTGACCAGGGAACTAGATCCCATGTGCTGAAACTAAGACCCAGAGCCGCCAAGCAATTAAATAAAGAAATATTTTAGAAACATCAATCCACTTACCTGTCCTGAAGGGTGGCCTTGCAGTGCCCCCGACAACCAGCAGCGTCCCGGCCGACGCCACAGGTCCCACCACAGCACCGGGACGGGACAAGGTGGACGGGCCCTAGGAAAGTCGGAGGGCTTGTTACATTGCTTCAACACTGAACTTGAATGTTTAGCTGTTCCCCTTTGGGTGATTTCTGAGGGGGATGGGCCATGAGGTTTAATTTTTTCTCTTTTATCTTAAAAAATGATGAACCACTTCTATGCAGGACCTGGAGACGGGCAACAGGAGGGTGGTCCCCAGAGGCCGGAGGTGGGAAGATGGGGGTTTCCTGTGTGGGGTCAGGACAGCGTTTTGGGGATGGTGGTGGTGAACGTGCTTAATGTCCCCGAACTGCTCACCAGGAAATGGTTAAAACGGTAAACTTAATTTGATGTCAATTTCACTGCAATGAAAATAATGCTGAAAAGGCATGAAGACAGGGGACATGAAATGAGTCTTTCATTTCATGAAATGAAATGAAAGTGTTTCTGCAAGCAGGCAGGGCATTGCTGGGCAGAACACGAATGTCCACAGCCTTTAACTCAACACACACTTTGTTCTTTACTGCTAGGAACGTAGCTTAAGAAATAACTATCTATGTGCATACAGCTTTACTAACTACTCTGTTCACTGAAGCAGTATGTATATTATTTTTGGTTACGAAGACAATACACATTCATTGAAGACAAACTTTAAAAATAGAGAGATTAGATCAGAAATTGAAAAATAAATCTTTCCCAATTCCATACACTGCAAAACACTGTCCACATTTCTGAACAGCCTTCTAGACTCCTCTCTCTATGTATACAGACACACGTAAATCTGATTTTATAAACCATAAACAGAGTAAAGCATACCAACAAACACAAAAGACACGCACATATTAATATACAGAGAAAAGGTTTGAGGAAGTTATATATTAATACAGAAACACACACACATCCAAAGTTTCCAAGGCGAATTCTTTCTTTACTTTTATCAAGAGAAAAAAAAAGATGATGAAACCATTTCCCTTTTAAAAATGAAAGTTAACCACTGAGATGCAGCAGCGAGCCGTGTTGAGAGGGATAGCCGCCCAGCCTGCAGCCGACTCTGGGAAGCAGCCCTCGTCTCACGTGGCCATGATTGTGGTGACGCGCCTGGATCCACCGCCAGTCATTTCAGCAAGTCACCCTCACTCTGAGACATTTCAAATTTATTCAAAGAAAGGCACCACCATTCCCTGTAGAAATGGCTGGTTCTAGGGTTCCAGCTGGGAAATACAAGATGGGCCTGGAACTTCTTTCTGAGTCAGAAAATAACAGAGAAGCTAAAAGGATAATGAAACTGTGTCCAAATGACACCTGAGCAGGGTGAAGGGACTTCCTCTGGCCAAACCTGGGAAAATCTGAGCCTCAAAATAAATAATGATCGCCAAGGACCATCATCCCTTTATCAGGGACATTGCATCCATGGTAATTAAAGGAAAGAATAAGTGGGGAAGAGGGAAGTTCTTGCTTACCTAGGAAGGCAACTAATAAATGCAGATAGTAACGGTCAGCGGAGAAAGAATTGTGCTAAAAATGCCTTATTTCCCATATCAAATATTAGATTGAAAAGCTGAACCCTTCGATGTCTTAAAATGAAAGATCGGACAGTTACGAGAAGACCAGCCATCGAATTGGGAAACACTGAACCTCACAGACGGTAATAGGAGACGACACACTGCTAGGTGCTGTGTCCACAGGTGCAGGGGACACACAGGTGAGGATGGAGTGGGCAGAGGGCAGGCTTCTGGAAGGGCTGCGGCCACCTTGATTATGCCCTGCAGAGGAGGTGAGGTTGTGGGGATGGGGCAGGAAGTTAAGCGTAAGCTAGTGTTCCTTTACTGACTTTCGCCCATGTTAGAAACCTTAGTCCACCTGAATTACAGGCAGACCTGGCTGTATCGTGCCTGACAATTATTGCTTTTTCCCGAAGGGCAGGTCTGTGGAAGCCCTATGTCTTGCAATTTAGGGGCACTATTTTTCCTACAGCATCTGCTCACTCTGTGTCCCATTTTGGTAATTCTCTCAGTATTTCAATCTTTTTCATTATTATTATATTTGTTATGATGGTCTGTGCTCAGGGGACCTTGATGTGACTATTTTAGTATGACTCACTGAAGGCTCAGATGATGGTTAGCATTTTTCAGCAATAAATTATTTTTAAACTAAGGTGTATATGTTGTTTTTTAGGGCATGATGCTATTGCACACTTAATATATTACAGTATAGCATGAAGATAATGTTATATGCATTGGGGAACCCAGAATGTCCCGTGACTAACTTTATTACAATGTTCTCTTTACTGCAATGGTCTGGAACTGAACCCCAGTGTCTCCAGGGTCTGCCTGGACTTCCCTGAACTTCCATCTCTGTTAATAATCCCAGAGGCAACACTGGTTTGTGGAAAACCCTGTCACAGGTCTCCCTCCTCCCTCTTCTGTAGGAAATCCGGGGCTTCCCTGGTGGCTCAGTGGGAAAGAATCGCCTGTCAATGCAGGAGAGATGGGTTTGATCCCTGGTCTGGGAAGATCCCAGATGCCACGGAGCAACCAAGCCCATATGCCCCAACTACTGAGCTTGTGCCCTAGAGCCTGGGGGCCCCAACTTCTGAAGCCCATGAGCCCTAGAGTTGTTGCTTCACAAGAGGAAGCCACTGCAATGAGAAGCCCGCACACCACAAAGAGAGAGTAACTTTCGCTCACCACAACCAGGGAAAAGCCCACGCAGCAACCAAGATCCAGTACAGCCAAAAATAAATAAATAAATTAGTTAAAAGAAAAAGAAATCCAGAAAGACACCAAGACAGTCGTGTACAGGTTCACTTTGAACCCACCAGACAAGAAAGGAGACAGACAAACCTACTCTACAAAAGGCTCACGTTACTTTAAATCAACTGACACCAAAATGAAGGCAAACTCATTTTTTAAAAGTTACTGGGAAATCCTAGAATTTTAATGAGATGCTTCTTTTCTGTTTGATACTAATACTTAAAGATGCCCAACACCCCAAACCTCTGGGGACGAGGGAGAATGACTAAACTCGATCAGCTTTAGCTGGAAAACAGAGCAGGAGCGCTCTTTGCGGCCTCGGGGCCTGCGTTCCTAGTGGACCCCAAGCTCTGAACTTACCGCAGGTCTGGGCCGAGTCCCGCAGGCACTGGCAGCAGGCATGGGGCGCAGGGGAGCTGAGCCGGGGTCTGTCGAAACAGGACAGCTCGGAGCCGTTGAACTGCAGGTCCTGTGCCCTCAGGGACCCTGCAGAGGCCGAGAACTCGGTCAGCGAGACAGGCTCCCCAGGGGAAGCCCGGGAACATCACAGCGCGACCAGAACCATCCCAGCTTCTGCAGTTTGGGAGGAAAGGACAGCTGTGGTTCCCATTTAAAAATACTTCTTCTTACAAAAAGGCAGAGAAACGAAACAATCGGCCAAGAAAGCTCGAGATGGGGGGCCCTTGTGTTGCCAGACCTTGGAACAAACTGTGTTTCTGTGGAGGGTGGGGGCGGCCCTGCCTCCTCAGGCCCCGGGGAAGTGATGCCGCCCCTCGGCCACACCCTCAGCGCCTCCCCTGGGAGGCCTACTTGCATATGTTCTCTGTCCCCGTGGCCGCAGCCAGATGCTCCTCTCAGGTCCTCGTTGGACACTTGGAGGACAACGATGATGATCAACACCCTTCGGCGGGATGCCAAGACACAGCAAGCGCTCAGGACTTACAGCTCGGCTTCTTCTCCACGAACTGCCGCTTACAGTAGATGACGCAGAGGACGAGCAGGGCCAGCAGCACGGTGGCCAGGGCGCTGCAGATGACGGCCGCCAGGGCCGTGTCCCGCGGGCTGGAGGCCGTGGATGGGATCCTCACCAGGTTGACCTTGCTGGTACCTGAAAACCACGGGGACAGAATTCTCATGTCTCCACCACCTAGGAGACTCAGACGCGCACACTGCACGCGGGGTCCCCTGCAGGGGCCTTCGTGCAACATCAGTGAGAGCGCAGAAGCCGCGGTGAGGAGGGAAGGTGTGCGAGGCGGCTCACACACTCCCTCCACCCGGGACATGGCTGGAATATTGCACTTCCACCTGCAGCTCTCCTCTCTTTCCACGGCAGCAACCATGCGCCACCCTGACACACACGTCCTCAGCCCACCGGACCACAACCTTGCCGTGGGCCCCCACATTCTGAGACAGTGAACATTATTATTATTACTGTAACACTGTCGCTGTTACAGTACTGAACAACACCTACGTTTTGGAGGGAAAAAAGCTAACACCACCATGACCTCACACTGACAATACATCTCTGTCTGGATGGAGCTTGTTTGAAGGCCTGTTCACCCGCGTGGCTACAGCTGACCGTGATGGACTTGGCAGCTCTAGAGACAACTGGCTGCTACCAGTATCTGAGCTGCGAGGCACTAAAGCCCACTTGGAACACCTAGGACTTTCCCCCTGTCCCTGGCCACACAGGACCACCCCATCCTAATTCCTAAAGTCAGGTTTCCACTGTGGCCGGGTTTCCTCTGGCCACGGCCCCCGCGGCCAGAGCCACAGAGAAACAAACATCAGGGTTGAGTTACTGAACCATAAAAACATGATAGCCCAAACAAAAACAAGAATGATCATTTGGGGATGTTGAGTCTTGGTGTATCTGGGCTCCATGACTCTGGGCCACCCTGAAACATGTTTCTCATTGTCACCGGGAAAGGTACAGACACCATATGGTTTGGACCTGGATGAATAAGAATCATAATCCAACCACAAAGGATATTTGTTGGTAAACATGTTCAACACTCATAAAAATATTGCTTCCAGTTATGCAGACATAATGTCATAATCAAACAGCACACATTAGATGTTCACCACACAGCAAGTTAAAAAGATCATACATAGCCCAGACCTGATAGAGAGGAAAGCTAAATTCGAAACAGCCTCTATAAGCGGGCAAATTCACCAGAGAATGTATGAACATAAACAAACACAGCTGTGTAAACAGTGACAAATAAACACACGAATAGGAATTTATGTCTAATGCAGGTAAAAGTGTGGGCTACAACGAATGGTAAGTAACTTGGGAAACTTGAGTATTGCTTATTGCAACCAAATCGTGAGGCTGATTCATGTTTGTGAGAAAATGATTTACTTTAGAGTGAGACTGGGCCCTGTAGCTTAAATTTTCCATCAAGTAACCAAGCTCCAGTCAACACTAGGCTTTGACAAATCTGTCATCAAAATGAGACAGCTTGAGAACTAGACCCCGGCCTTCAGATTCTCTCTGGTGGACTACCTGCCCACTTGTTCAGCCACTAAGTCGTGTCCGACTCTGTGACTCCACAGACTGCAGTGCACCAGACCTCCCTGTCCTTCACCGTCTCCTGGAGTTTGCTCAAACTCATGCCCACTGTGAATTAACCAAAGAAGCCAGAAAAGGTGGCCAGGCTCCTCTGTCCATGGGATTCTCCCGGCAAGAATACTGGAGTGGGTTGCCATCAACCCACGACCCATGACCTCCCATGACCTCCTCCAGGGGATCTTCCCAAACCAGGGATCGAACCCTCATCTCTAATGTCTCCTGCATTGGCAGGCAGGTTTCTTACCACTAGCGCCACCTGGGAAGCCCAAAGAGTCAGATACGACTAGACAATTTGATCACTCCGTAAAACCACACAGGGGGATGGAAAAAAAATGACGAGATTATTTAGAGATCTGCTAAAAACAGGAGTCCTTGAATATTTTTGGTAGAAAGTCATCCAAATTACCATCAACATTATCACAGAGACCACACACCAAATACCTGCGGAGGACTGGCCCCATGTCGCCCACCTTCAAAATGTCATGACAATCCTCCACAGCAAGGGTCTTACAGATGAAGATGTCTACAAATCTAGAAATGGGTTTTCACTTAAACAACCATCAAGTGGTTGAATCAAGATTTAGGCCTAATCTGTCTGACTCTAAAATATATGCTCTTAAAAAAAAATTATGCTACATTCCTCTCAACATTCCAACAGTATTGTTTAGAGAAAAAAAAAAAACAACAAGAGTGTGAAGGACTATTATTCAAATTTTGCACAGGTAAGTAAATTCAACTTAATTAGCTAACATATACAATAAGACTTGGCCTAATTTAAAACACAAACACATCTTCACGAGTCCAACCTCTCTTACCCCCAAGATTAAAGAGGCTATTGTGTTTTATTGCAGTGAAAAAGAACATATGACTCTTTAAATTTATTTTTTAAACGTTCTTGTTAAGGTCTATATAGTATAACTAGATGAGTATTAAACAAGTAGGGAAAGATATGAACTGTCATATATGAACTAATTCTGCTTTCTGCTGGGCTTCCATGTTTAAGATTTCACTAACGCCTTGTGTTTTCATCACAGAGTTCACAGAAGAAAATAAAACATTAGGTTGCATGCTATGTGACATGGAAGCTCCAACATAATCGGAGATGCGAACATTTTCACTTATTGATGGCTGTGTTTTGTCATGAGTAATTCAAGTGACAATTAGTTCTGGAAGATAAACAGACATTCTCTAATAATTTTCAGGAACATATTTTATCTTTGCCTTTCATATTTTTTTCAAGAAAAAAATCAATTCATTATTTTCTGTGCTCTTTCATCACCACCACCAAGAAAACTCATGTTGAGTAACTGTGTAACAAGACCAAAACATGATGGATTGATCTCTAGCTATGTTCTTTAATTAAAAATATACATTAACAAAGAGCATTTTGCAATCTTAACTGAGACAAAGATACAGGCTTGGAGTGTAAGCTTTATCTTGTTCATCCAAACTGGTTAAACAAAAATATCTACGGTAACACTCAACATGTGAATTCCAGATGTACCACAGAACAGTCTGCCAATAAACAAAATAGTTGGATTTTTTAAAGTCCATTTTATACCAAGCTCTCTGACACTGGATGTAATGTCATGTAAGAGTGAGTCTTAATCATTTTACTTATTTTTCATTTTAAACTTTGGTCTTTGAACAATGTGGTTTGTTTTTCAATACTGATAAAAAATATTATTTGAAAATGAGAGCTTTCTTTTGCACAGGAGAAAAAAAAGATTTTAAACTGGATTGAGTTTTTCATTGTGGTGAAATATACATAACATAAAGTTTACCTTTAGCGACACTGAGTACTTCCACAATGTTATGTAAGCATCACCACTAGAGGGGAAACCCCCAACCTATGAAGCAGTCATGCCCCACCCCCTACTTCCCCACCACCACATCCTGGCAAGCACTAATTTGCTTTCTGTGTCTGTATTTGCCTATTCTGGATATTTCCTATAAAAGGAAACATAAAATATTACATGACCTTCTGTGTCTGTCTTCTTCCACTTAGCAGAAAGTTTTTGAGGTCATCTATGTCAGCATGCAACAGAACTTCATTCCTTTTTATGACTGAATAACATTCCATTGTATGGATGGACCATGTTTTGTTTACTTGTTCATCAGACGGTGGACATCTGAGCTGTCTCCCCCTTTTGGCTATTGTGAATAATGTTGCTATGAACATTCATGTTCAATCTTTCTCCATACACTTTTAAACTTTTCACAGAGATACACACAATGGCTCCACATGCTATCAAAAGGCGTTATGTTAATCAGTCACTCACATACTTAATGTTATTACACTAGAGCATTATGTTAGTTAATAAGTCAGGAAAAAAAAAATTCCTGAGCAAACCAAGAGAAGAGTGGAGGGAGACAGTGCCAGAGAAGCTAGTCAAGACCAGTACTTGTAGGAATTGAAAGGATAGTGAGGAGCTTGAATTCTATTCTAGGAAAAATAGGAAGTACTCAACAACTACAGAATATATATTCTTCTTTAAAAAGACTAAAATCATACAAAGTATCTTTTCCAACCACAACTGAATTAAACTAGAAATCAGTAACAGAAGGAAAACTGGGAAGTTCAAAGATATGCAGAAGATAAACAATCTACTCTTAAATAACCAATGGGTCAAAGAAGAAATCACAAAGAAAATTAGAAAACACTTTGGGATGAGATGAATGAGAATAAAAAACAAAATATCAAAACTTATGGGATACAGCAAAAGCGGTGTTTAGAGGGAAATATATAGCAGTAAATGTCTATACTAAAAAAGATCTAAAATCGACAGCCTAATGTTTAACTTTATTACGTTAGAAAAATAAGAGTAAACTAAACCAAAAGCTAGCAGATGGAAGGAAATGATAAAGATTAGCACATAGATAAATAAATAGAGAAAAACAATAGAGAGAAGCAATAAAACCGAAAGATGGTTCTTTGAAAAGATCAACAAAATTGATGAAACTTAGATTGACAGAGGAGAAAAGGAAGAAGACTCAAGTAAGTAAAATCAGAAATGAAAGAGCAGACATTGTTATGGACTTTACAGAAATAAAAAGGTTATAAAAGAACATCATGAACAAAGGTACCACAAACTGGATAAACTAGGTAAAAAAGACATTCTTAGAAATACACAAAACAGTGAAACTGACACAGAAGAGATAGAAAATGAAAACAGACCGCAACAAAGAGATGGACTCAGTCATTAAAAACCTCCTGACAAAGGAATGCCCAGAACCAGATGCCTTCTTGTGAATTCTGCCACAATTTAAAGAAAAATTAATGCCAAATCCTTCTCAAACTTTTGCAAAAAATGAAGAGGAAAGAATACATCCTAACTCTTTCTATGAGGCTAACATTATCCCAATACCAAAGCCAGAAAAAGGCACTATAAGGGGAGAAAACTACAGATCAAGATCCCTGACAAGTACAGATGCAAAAACCCTCAACAAAAACGTACCAAATGAAAGTCAGTGCATATTCAAGGATTATACATCACAGCCAAGTGGGATTCATCAGGGAGGCAATGATGATG